ACTGTGTTAAAAGGCTTAGGACCATAGTCTCATGGGACAACTGAGTCAATTGGCATAATATAGTTCATAAAGATAATTGTTATACATTCCTAGTTTGAAGAATAGCATTTGGGGTCTTAAACTTCTGTGAGTGGCCATCTAAGATACCACTATTTGTCATTACTCATCTGGAGCAAAAGAGAATGAAGGAATCCAAAGACTCAAAAAGGAGCTAATACACAAGAGTAATAGTTCACAAGAAATACAGCCTCTTCTATCCTGAGACGGAAAAAACTAGATGGTGCTCAGCTACCACTACCAACCGTTCTGACCAGGAACACAAAAGAATTTCCTGAATAGAGTGGGAAGAAAATGCAGAACAAAATTGAAATTGCTGAAAAGGATCAGACTCACTGAACAGACATAGAGTAGAGGAACCCCAAGATGATCGCCTTAGTATATCCTTTAAGGTTGGAACTAAAGCCACTCCTAGAGGTCACATGTCAGTCACATAATAGGCTGGATTTTAAAAGAAACAATATCACCCATGAGTAATGTGATACTTTAAGCAATCAACTGTATGAGACCAAATGGTCAACATTTACCCTGAAACAAAGATGAGAAAGCAAGGAGGCACAAGGAAGCTAGATCAATGAAAACAGATCAAATGGAATGGAAATAATGGGGATGCTGACACATCAGGGAAATTGTAACCATTGTCACAGAATAATTTGTATAATACAAAAGGGGAACCTAATGAGTATGTAAACTATCACCTAATAAACAATAAATTATTTAAAAAGATAATAATACAAATCTATGTGTGAAAACACAAGGAGAACTAGTGGCTCAATTAAAGCACTTGACTGCTAATCGAAAGGCCAGTGATTTGAACTTACCAGGCCCTCTGCAAGAGAAAAAATGACAGTCTGCTTCTGTAAAGATTTACTTCTTTGGAAAAACTCCATAGGTTGTTTCTACTCTGTCCCATCGGGTCTCTATGAGTCAGAATCGTTTCAACAGCATGGGTTTGGGTTTTCGTTTGGTGTAAAAACACATAAATCAAATTATTTTCTCAAAGGGATGTACACCCAATTTTTATGGTATTTATTTACAATAAATTTTGATATTATAGTTTTTTGTTTGTTTGTTTGTTTTAACATCAAAGACTTCTGGGAGATTTATAATATAAAGTACTTCAAACTTTGTACGTTTATAACCTACTCACATAATATAGAGTTTTAGTTAGTACTAATGCCTAAGGCACTTGACTGCTAACCAGAAGGCTGGCGGTTCAAACCCACCAGCCACTCCTTGGAAGGAAGGTTGGGCAATCCTACTTCCGTAGTGATACTGCCTTGGAAACCCAAGGAGGGGTCGCTATGAGTCGGGGCCGACTCGACGGCATTTAACAACAACAACAATGCCAAAACTAATATAAGCTTGGTTATTTTGAGTACTAAACCTTTTTTAGAACATTCAAATTTACAATGTTGATTTTAAAGGAGATTGAACTTAATTTTAAATCCCAATTTGTAAATCAGCACAAACAGTAATTTAACTCTTCAGCAATAAAAATTTCAAAGAACCTGAAACCATTTCATGAATTTTCAATCGTACATGATGCAAAATTACATAAAATAGTCATGCTGTCTCAGGCACTGTGATTCAGAGAAGCTATCATAGACTTTTATACATATGTCATGTTAAACTCCCGAATGACTTTCCTTTAACAAATCAATCTTATTAAGTCTTACTAGCAATTAAAATTTAACCCCCTCACAATATATTAAAGTTTCATTCAGAATCCTAATGGAATACTAGGAGATGTCTCCTAGTATCCTATAATGTTTTTGAATATATATATGAATGAATTGTAGATAAAAATAATAAATCAGAATGATCAGCTATAAATGATTAAGAACACTTTATGTTCCAGATTGCTTGCCTTGTGAGCAGATTTGGAAAGAATAATTTGTTGGTTATAAATATTTGTTGGAATTATGAACAAGTGAGAGTTTAATGTTTTCAGCCAAGATAACTGCCTACAATAATTGGACTGCAGGCCCAGATCTATGCAAATTTTTGATAGGGACTTACCCCTGGATTCATTATTGTTTCTTTTTGGCTACAACTGCATATTTATTAATCCAATTCTCATAGGAAAAAAAATAAAAATAAAAATAAATCACCCAGAGAGTTTCTTTAATTGCCAAGGGCATGATTTTACAACATTTACACTCCTGAAGCTTAAAATGAATCAATTCTGTAATTTCCTTGCTTAAGCATGAGACTAGCTTTTGCAAAATTTTTACAAAAATCCCCCTTTTTTCATACTGATTCCTAGGAACAACCTATTGGTTTTGTCACTTTAAAGAAGTGGAAAATAATCTTAAAAAAGAAATTTTTGAGTTGCTTTTAGTCAATAGAAAGTCTTTATGTATAAATTACAAGTGACTATAAAATTTTAACTGCAGGAATTTCAGATGTCTCTGTTTTATTTTATTTAGTATATGTTTTTAAAAATCAGCCCTAAAATTAGGTAGTTACCAACCTGTGACTTCTCTGGTTTATCAGATTGCCTCATCCTTTGTCTTTTCCATCCTGTAACAATGACGTTCAACAGAGATTAGCTGCTACAACTCAAGCTCTCCTACTACTAATTCATCCACTCAATAAGTAGTTTCATTAATTACAATAATAATTCATGTTCATTTTAGAAAATATGTAAATGTAGGAAAACACAAGGAGGAACATATAAATCTTATAAGCAAGAATCATAACTACTGCTAATAGTTGACATATATTATGTTGGTCATTATTCTTTGTTGTTATTTGCATATAATACAATTTTAATTAAAAACTACTATTACATAATTTATACTGTTTCATATCATGGTTTATAAGTTAAAACTCTTTCTTAAACAGTTTACTATGTCCATATATCCTATGTAAAAATTCACTTTTAACAACTTCTCAATAATCTGTTGCATCATTGTACCATAGTTGTATTTATCCTCCTCCCAGAGAAAGAATTCGCCATTGCTGGATATTAATAGATTTTTGTGTATAGAAGAAGAAGGTAAATCAGCTTGTAGAAAATGTGGCCTTCTTAATAAGAACGTCTGCAGCAATTACCTTAATGGTGAAAATAATACATTTACTAATCAGGATTCCCAAGAACTAAGACTGACCCAAAGGGAGATGAAATCATATTAACAAGATATATATGTAGTTTTTATATCGTAAATAACTTTTTTTGTGTTCAGTAATTTCTAAAATGACTGTATGAAGTCAGATGAATTTAATGTGTGAAGCTCATTGATAGATATTAAATGAGATTAAAACATGTGTAAGACAGTTTCTATCTATATTCAGATCTCAAAATTTAGTCGAAGAAGTAAAACTTAAATCCGTAAAATTTTAAAAACATGTCACAATTTAATTATAACCAATTTTTTTCAGACTCTTAAATCCAAGGTGACAAAAAATAAGGACATATGGAACAGGGAGTATGCTTGGACACCAAGCTAATTAAGGTAGTGGGCATCATTGGAGCTCCAGCCAACAAACTCCCGTTATCTCATTCAGGATTGCCTTAAATGTATTCCCAAAACCAATTTAGTGCTTCTTTTTATTACCTTGTGTCTAATCTAATCAATAGTCTACCCAGTCACTGATTTTATGTCATTTTCTGTCCTTAAATGTCACCTAATTTGGCATAATTTAAGGAATTCTGATCATTGTGTTATTAGTGGATAACATATCTTCCAGTTGATGAAATAGACATATATTTACCAAGGAATCATTAAGATAGTGTTTCTCTCTGTTTCTTGTAGTATTCTTTGAATCATTCAAGCAGTGTTTATTGACTGCCTTCTCAACACACCGTGCTATAAACTGTAGTTATGGAGCGCTCATTCTTGGAGGGTAGATACACCTTGAACCATTAATCAATATTAATTTGTATCAAGTGCCCCGAGTGGAAGGTGGTGCTAGGAGGACATCTGTCAGAGGAAAATAAACTGGTTGCTTAGTGAAGGTCCATATGAAGCATTGTCATACTTTAGGATTTCGGATTGAGTTGTTAACGGTTTTATGGAATGCATATGTATATAAGGATTTTGAAGGAGTAGCTACTGCCTATAATCCAATTAAATGTGCATTAAATTAGTTTTAAAATGTCTGATTACAAAGAAATAATAAATATTGTACTTTAATGGTAATAAAACCTTTTAATGATAATAGTCACAGGTTTGAAAATTGTTTTAGCAAAGAATCAAACAATTTATTAAGTCCTTATATAAATCATTTTAGGGAAACCTTCAGCATTTAATATTTTTATTTTTTTTATATTGAAAATAATGTCTTAATGTAAAGAGAATTGAAGAGTTTTGAATTATATCCTGATCTCCCTCCAAGGGAAAAAAAATTAATTTATGCATCATATAATATTTTTCAGACCTCAGTAAGATAAATATTTTCTTCGTTTATAATTATAATATGCTTGGAGAACAAACGTTATTTATAATTGTTGTTGTTATATTTTTAAAATTTACATGTAATAATAAATACAACAAAATAGACCTCATGAGTTAATTAACATCACCCTATACAAAGGAAGGAACCATTGATGGGAAAAACACAGTGTATAATTTGTTGGTTACTCTATTAAGAAAGTTTTACAAATATATTTTATTCTTACCATAACTCACTATTTTTATTTTTCAGAAGTTTCCTATTTGCAAATTTGTATTTTTGTTTAGAAGATAAGAAAGTAAGAAGTAAGAAAATATTTTAAGTGTAATCATACAGCTTATGTAATGATGCTGTAAGGATTCAAAAGGAGTTCCAATGTGTGTTGTTCCTATTATCTATAATTAAATCTTGATCAGAGAGTGTCCACAATATAAAATCCAGTTTAATGTGGCACCGATATTCAGTCTTGACAACTTAATATGCATAACTTAAAAACATTCATAATTTGAAATATACTTATTATTGTTATTAAATATTCTTAGCAATTGGTTTGGATTCCTGTCCTGAACCACAAACTCCTAGCAGTGGAATTAAAGTAGGAGACAGATATATGGTTGGTGATGTGGTATCCTTTCAATGTGACCAAGGATATTCACTTCAGGTAAGTTTATTTTAAAAACATACTTGTGTTTTTCAATGCTTGTTAAGAATATTTTAAAAGACTAATTGTTCATAATCCACAAGTTCTACAATACTGAACCAAGGTTGCATAGTTTAGTCTTAAGTCTAAGGAATGATCAATTCACCAATAAAATATATGCATGAAAGAAGTTGCTGCGATTGATTCAATTTGTTTTGTTTGGAGGCAATTAAAAATGATGTTGAATCAAAATTTACCTTTATTGCTCTTTTCTTTCAACCCATATAAGGTTGTAACAATTGAAATCCTGGACTTTTATCTTTTGCAAATAAAAATGAACAGCTACTTAAAGCATTAAAAGAAACTTCCATGATAATAAATTCCCCAAATTATTGAAGATCAACCACATGTATTTTATTAAAGAATCGGATTTGGAAATATAGAATGTGATTTTTAAGTATTTATATTGATCCTATTTCAAAGGCTTTCTGGAGAGCCTGAAATTTACAGCAACATAAAAATATGCTTAAGTAATACACCCATAAATGAATTAAGAAAAAAAGATAGAGGCAGTGACTACGTCACATGTTATGTAAGTAAATTCCTTAGAGAAAACAGAATTTAAAAAATTAATAATTTATAGTATTTAAAGTTGCACCATAAATTATTAGTCTCAGAAGTAAAATAAGATATTTCTGTACTTCATATTTCAATTTAAAATTTAATATACTTTAATTGACTTGTTTTCATATTTTTATGAAATAATTTTACTATATTTTTAAATTATTTCACTATGATGATTACAATAATATATTATAAACCAATATGTTTGAGACCACTAAATGTGTGTCATCATTGTGGAGTTTAGGAGAACATCTTTTGACAGAAAAAAAATTTTAAATGACAATTCAAATTATTGTGGCATCTTAATTTTGCTCTCAGGGGTTTTGTTATGTTTTTACATTCCATCATAACAACATACAATTATCTTATCCTTCTAAGTCATACTAAGATTTCCAATAAAAGTAATATGAATTACATTAAATGGCAATATAGTTTCAAGCTTTCTTTCAATTTAATAATCATCCACTATATTATGTTTAAGTTACACTTTTATAAATGTTCACTGAACTGCATCATATTGTTTATGTAGGGTCATTCTCATATAACATGTATGCCAGGCCCTGTAAGAAGATGGAATTATCCAATTCCAATTTGTTTGGGTAAGTTTAGCAACTACAAATCATTTACAGTCTTTATAAAGTTTTAAATATACAACCTGTATGTAATTTTGTTCAAACATAAAATTTACCTTTTGCCAGGTTTATGGAAATACAATTGAGACAAATGTTTTACATCTTTCTCTTTTCTAATTTTATATTTTTAAAATGAATTCATACTTCTATATAAACAGATGACTTAAAACTCCAGACACTGAGAAAAAAATATTACTTTTTCTCGTTCCTAGAACACTTGTTTTCTCAGTATTAGTTGATAGAAATATGAAAAATAAATAGATATCTTATTGGTTAATATTGAGTCAGAATAGATAAGGATAAGTTGTAGAAATAATAAAAATGATATGATAAGAGAATATGGTAGTGTTAAATGATGCTATTGATTATACAAAGAAATTTCAGAAAACTGAGACTGTATTGACCAAAGTCATTGGGAAAAAACTTTGATGAATACTGTCAACTTTGTCACGAGGTTTTACCAATTAAATATTCCAACAATATTATATGGCAGCTCTCATCTTCTCATAATACTAGAGCCCATTGTTACTGTTTCAAAATGCTAAGTTTCTACATATAGAAAGTATTATATTACTGATTAAATTTGCATTTCCATTGAATATTGTTATCAATGGAAGGATTTGATGGAAGTAATAATTTTTAATATTTTAATAAAATATTATTTGGTAAATAATTAAATATAAAATTTGGTAGAAATTTTTTTAAAAAAATTTGTTATTATTAGAAAATAATAAAATTACATTTGGTAGATTATTAAAGTATTTAAAGTGACGCTATGGTGATGTTATAGGGAAAACTGAAGGCAGGAGACTAACTCAGAGAATTTCTCTAAACTTTGATTATCCAGTCACAAGGTTATAGCCTTGAGACCTGTGTGATAAACAGAGAGTTTAATATGATATTTTGATGAAATTAAATTCGTATGAGATGTTATATATTGGAGACAAATATGAAGAAAAATATGAAAGTTGATTTTTTAGCTGTTAGTCATTCCCCTAACAAAAAGACAGTCATGAGGTAAAAAATAGTCTACATCAAAACGTTGGTAATATATACAAAACTGACATTAAATGCATAGGAATAAGTGAGATTGCAAGGCACTAAGGAAATCCACATGAACGCAAAGAGGAAGACAGATGCATTTTTTTGTATCCTTTGTATGTCTTTTGTAATTTCAATTATGCTTTTTCTTCCTCTTTCATTATCAGTTTACTCCTTTGATTTTGCAATTTGATTTTTGATCCCTCCTTTAATTTTTGGATTTTGCCCTCAAAGGGTAGACAGGTAGAAGAAGATTTTCAAATTATATCTAAAAAGATGGACAGTAACAGAACTAGAGGACAATGATAAATTCAGTACTTTGAAATTGTGAAGGCAGAGAAACAAAGACAGTTCTTGTGACCTTTTACTCAAAGTTAAAAACAAAGAAAAACAAATTTAAAACAATCATGCAAATACAGTCTTGCTGGAAACTTGAAAAATATTTTTGATTGACCAAAATATTTCTTTACAATTTATATATGTATATTATAGGTTGTGTGATGAATATATGTGGAGAATAGAATTCTAGAAAGTTAAACTGATGAAGCATTAATGGCTCATATATATTGAAATTTGCTTTGTTTAAAGATGAATGAACAAAGATTTCAGAAAGATGGGAAATATACTGGTGTATCTTTAGAGTTCAATGTTGATCATAAATTTAAAAGAAAGCTTTATATTTAGGTTGAATTCAAGATATATGCATAGAAAAAAATCCTTGTAAAATCCCTGCTTATGCATAATTTATTGGTCATTAGTAAAAAACAAAACAAACAAACAAACAGAAAAAAAAAAAAAAAAAAAAA